AGCTGATTTCCAGTCGGTGGCTTTCCCTCCAAAGATGGTTGACATTGGTCGGTCTTATTGTTACTTGAGTCATCATATTCGACTTTCTCAATCTTTGTTGAGACGCGCGTCGCTTCTCTGTTCCCGGTGGAGAGGTGTCTGCCTACCTGCTTCAGTTGACTTCAAGGTAGGTTTTTCTCTTTAGTGGTGGCTTCCTTTAAAGTTGCTTGCCATGTGTCGTTGCTTCTTTTATCGCCACCTTGCATGATTGTGGCTTAGCCACCGTCTCTACTTTCTCTCTTCAGTACACCTATTGCTTCTAATCTACAAAAGTTGGTTCTTTATCTATTAAGAACTCGGTGTACATACATATATCTTAAAAAAAACAAAATTTTTGAAAATGTATATTTGCACAAAAAGATTTGAATATGCATTAAAATGCATTTTGTGAAAAATTCTTTTTTAAATCTTAATTTCGAAATCTAAGATATATTTTCACTTATTTGAAAAAAAATTATTTTTTATTGATTTCTTATTTTTTTTAAAATCAGCAAAGATATTCATTACATTTCGAAATTAATAATTTTTGTTTTCAAAAATCGCATTTTAATGCATATTCATATTCTTTTTTTATATATATGCGTATTTTTAAAAAAACATGTGTATATGGACATGCATATTTTAAATAATATTTTTAATGTTTCTATATGTATGCATAAGAGTAAACATATAAATATACATATGAATAAATATATCCATATGCACATGCATAAGAATAAGTATATGTATATGTCAAGTAAATACATATGGTTATGTTTATATATATACATATGCATAACAATAAGTGTATGGCATATGCATATGCATATAAATATGCATATGCATATACCTATACATATGTATATGCATATACATATACATATACATAAGAATAAGTATATGCATAAGAAAATTAAATACATATGGTTAGACTTATGTATATGTATATGCATATCCATAAGAATAAGTATATGACATATGCATATTCATAAGTATACGCATATACATATGAATAACTCTATATTCATATTCATATGTATATGCATATGCATCATATGCATAAGAATAAGTATATGGCATATGTATATTCATAAGTATATGCATATGTATATGAATAAGTATATGCATATGCGTATGCATAAGAATACATATATGCACATGCATATGAATAAGTATAAGAATATACATATGCATATGAATAAGTATATGCATATGCGTATGAATAATAGTAAGTATATGCATAAGGAAATTAAATGCATATAATTATGTTTATGTATATGCATATGAATAAGCAAAAGAATAAGTATATACATATTCATAAGTATATGTATATACATATAAATAAATATATGCATATGCATATGCATATGAATAAGTATATGCATATCCATAAAAAGAAGTATATGCATAAGGAAATTAAATACATATAATTATACATATGTATATGCATATGCATATGCATATCCACTTATTATTAGTTGTTACCACAAACAAATAGGAATAAGATATGTACAAGTTTGTTTCTTTGTTTATTAGAGGAAAAATGATGACCATTTCTGAAGCATTCTCATCGAAATGATTACAAAATATAATTAAATGGCCCCGCAGGCAGGTAATTTCATAACAAACAAAACTAAACTCTAATTGTTGATCTAATTCAATTCATTACTTGTAAATTTGGAAAATGCTCACAGAATATGATGGGTTTTGAGCATAACAGACAATTCTTATGTGTGCATGCAACCCTAAAATCTTGGATCTATGTTTTCTCGAATTGAACATACAACTTTTGAACATCAAACAGAAAACCCTAGTAGATCACGCCTCTAGTAGATCACGCCCAAACTTAGCAAGAGGATTAGAGAGGAGAGAGGAGGAGGGAGCATGAAATTTCGGCTGCTCTTCTTAGGGTTTCAGGTGGGCGAAATTGTGAAGGGGTTAGGCTCCTTATATAGCGAGGTAGCTTAGATCCAAAGCTAGGGTTTTAGGAGGAAACCCTAATTCCTTAGCTTAAGGACTAAGCAGCCCAAGAACTCCCATCCACGGCCTTTGGACGAAAATTCTAGGGCCTTTCTAGAAGTTTTCGTCCAACCCTTCTAGGGAGGTTCTAGAGCCTAATTCCTCAACTATCAATAAAGTGCCAAACAATCATTGCACTTTTAATTAATTCTTTTAATCCTAAAATTAATTCAAATTAATTTCTGATTAAATATTAATTAAATAATATGATTTCTAATTAATATATTATTTTCATAATACATTAATAAATCATTTATTTCAATTTGTTATTCAAATAATAAATTCAACCTCTCTCCAAAAGTTATCCTGTCTAGTTGCTAGTTATGAGGGCAACCCAAAAGGACTGTGCTACTATCAATTTAGGGTTGTATGTACACCATAGGATGTTGTAGTATACTAAAACCCTTTAGTGGTATTAGAGACTAGGATTGTTTTCCACTATACTTGATGTTTTATTGGTTTT